GAGAAATGGAGCAATAAGGCCAACTGGCAGATAGAAGCCACAGATATACACACCTGTGGTGGCAAGATATGGAAAAGAGAGTCCACCCTGGGTGGGCCATGCCTTCCTTGGGGGCAGAATGAAACATTTTCTTATATTTCATCTTCTGTGAAGAGGAATAAACATAAATTACCCTATAAAATAGTTTTCCCATATCTTGCTCATGGTTCTGCTATATATACATGCTTATCCACACATTTGAGTTGAGGAAAAAAGTGCTAAATTTCAATAGAAGAACCAAGAGGAGAATCAGTATCTCTCTCTATATATATAGAGAGAGAGTGGGAGAGAGAGAGAGAGAGGGATAAAGAGAGAGAGAAAGAAAGACTCTGGCATCTGCTAGAAAGCAGACAAATGGGGAAGATTTACGGCTAAGCAAAGCAAGCCAGAGAAAGAGAGGCATTATACATTCTCATTCAGTATATACTGAATATCTGCTCTCTATAGCAGAAACCGAAAGACTGGAAGAAATAAAATCATGGAGAACAATGGTGTTACTAGGGACAGTGAAGGAGGAGAATAGGAAATGGGTGAAGTTGAGAAGGAGGGAATTGAGGGGAAAAAGGAAGAAGCAAAACATTTAAGGAAAACAAAATGGAAAATAATCTCTTGATGATAATATGTAAGGTAGTATATTTGATTGAATCAACATACAGTGTATTCATGATGGGGGAAAGCATTTGGCATGCTGTAATGATACACAGTAATGGAATGTAAAAAGAAAGATAAATAAATAAATAAATAAATAAAATCTACTCAAATGTGTAACAGCAAGACTTGAACAATATTTCGCAGGTGTCACTGGGCCTCAGAGTTTCCATCTGTAAAATGCAAACAGCAGTATCAACTTTGAAGAGTCTTGAGATGATCACAACCAATGTGCAGAGTTTATGGTATATATTGGATGCTCACTTTTGAGATGATATTTTGATATATTAGACAATGTGTCCCTTCTGTTATTTCCTGATATTTCTTCCTCACCTTCTCCTGTGCTAGTAGTTAGACACTGTAGCATCAGGTGATTCAAAGAACAGAAATGAAACTGAAGACGAAATAGGTCTTTAAACCTCCAAAACGTTAAATAGTGGTTCCAGACATAGAAAATGCATACCAGGTCACAAATAAGCCACTTTATGTCTCCTGAAAATGGATGGAGATTCCATGTGATGGGAGAATAGAGAAAAATAGTTCTTGAAAATGAGCCCCCATGCCTTGCCAGCTGAGTGAGGGCAGGGGAGGATAGAGTGATAGAGGATGCAAAGACCTCCCCTCCAAAGAGTTAGGGCCTTACAACACAGGAGACCTGAGCCTTTTTTGCCAGATAAGTTCTGAGAAAGTGACAAGATCCCAAACACTTAGCATGATGTGAAAGTAGATGGAATAGCTACCAAGCAGCCAGGAGCAGTCACAAGGCCAAGGATCTGAAGAGGCCTAGTGAGGAGGACCAGGGGCATGTAGCAGGCACTTGTGTGCATTGACAAGAACAAGGATGGCTCTGTTGGTGCTACCCAGAAAAGGTGATGACCTCAAACAGGTGCCCTCTTCCCCATCTCTTAACACTTCAACACCAACTGATATCCCCACCAGAAAAAAAAAAAAAAGTTAATACATCACCAGGATCAGGAGAAGAGATCCTAAATGAACTGAGACTCAGTTTCTAACATGAGAGAACAGAGACTTGCCGTAATTACTAAGATCTGGTATAGAAGAGAAAAGAAGTTGCATATCTTTTGCTGTGGTTCAGATGTGCTCCCAAAATTTACATGTTTAACATTGTTGAATCTTTTTTGAGAGAGATTTTTGCTACAGGGCACATGCACAGAGAGACAGGGAGACTGAAAGTGAGAAATCATCCCCCTTCCCCCAGAGAGGATGGCCATGCCACAATCCTTTCTCCTCTTGCGCCCAGTGTGAGTTTTAAGCCAGCATGAGTTTCAAGTCCCACCGGGTCTGGGACTCAAACCACAGTCAACTACATGGGAGATCAGGGACATAATCACACCACCATCTGCAGGTTCTATAGGTTGTTGAATTTTGAAGAACTTAAGAGGGAACTTAATACCTTGATAGTGTCAAAATTTGGTGCCTTTGAGAATGATTAAACTATTAGGATGGGAACCCTATGATTGACTCCTGGTGGGTTTATAAAGAAAGGAAAGGAAACAAGAGACGGAGACGCACATGAAGCACAGACCACGCTTCTGCTGCCACTGTATTGTGATGCAGCCAGTAGAACCTCGCCAGAGACGGTCTCTGGGCCTCCAAACCAGGAGCTCTAATAAAACTTCTATTTTCATAAATCACCCAGTCTTCTTAGAAATTCAGTAGCAGACTAGGATACCTTTTATACATGTTGTAACCTGGATT